GAAAATAAAAGTAATAAATGCACAAATCAAATCCCGATCGAACATTACTGACAATCCAGAAGAATTACAATTAAAAATAAATGATTTAATACAAGAATTAAACGATAATCATGACATTTATAAATCTTTTAAATTATTGGTTGATATGGTAATATTTAATATATTCATCTTAAGTGTATGCAAATGTTTATAATAATGAAATAATGAAAATATTTTAGCAACAGGCAACTCTTCAACATCGCCGCACTGTTAACGCAAAGATTACAAAATCAATGTTCATACTGGTCAATTTTAGTTTTCAGGTAAGTCTATATGATATATATATATAATAAATATATACAAATATATATATGTATATTATAAATGTATAATTTTATTTCTTTATGTAGCAATATCTCAAATCTAGAAGATTTAGTGGAGAAATATTGTTCGATATAAAAAATCGAACTCTTAAACTACGAGTTACTCCCCCAGTTACGTCAAATATAGAAGGCGCTATTGATAGTACAAAATCTTTATCAGGTGGTGAAAGATCTTTCACCACTGTGACTTTCTTATTAGCGTTGTGGACATGTGTTGATCACCCATTCATTATTTTAGATGAGTACGACGTCTTCACAGTGAGCATATCTCTGCAGTTTGTATAAAATAATAAAAAATTAAAATTCACTTTTTAGGACGAATTGTGTCGTGAATATATGAACCGTCTACTTGTACAAGAATGCGCAAAAAAGAGGAGACAGTACACGTTTTTAACTCCTCTTGAACAAAATATAAATTGCGATAATAATGGCAAAATTCATAAGTAAAAACCCCTTCATAATTATAATTAATTACAATATAATTGAAATCAAGATTAAATATAAATATTTTTTTTTTTATAGACTATCGGATCCATAAAAATATACAAAATAGCTACATCACAACTGCCTTAGCTTTTAAAAAATTTCATTATATACTTTACCAACAAATCTAGTAACATAGTATCATATCTAGTAACATAATACTGTACTTTTTTACATATATAATAATATTATGTGATGTTTTTCACTTTATTAACCACCAACAAATCTAGTAACATAGTATCGTATCCAGTAACATAATATTGTACTTTTTTACATACCATATATAAAAATATCATGTTACGTTTTTTTTTGCATCTTAAAATTAAGAAAAATGATAAAACTTTTATTTCATTTTTATATATTAATTTAAAAAAAACGTAATTTTTTAAGTTTTATTTTTACATTTAATTTTATTACTACAATGTGCATACAAAAGTTAAGTTTGTTTGAATAATGTTATGTTAAAATATTTAGTTAATAAAATTTTTTATAAAATAAAAAAATTACTTTCCTAGTTTTTTAATACAAAGTAAAATTAAGTACATATGTAATTAGTTAATAATTAATAACTATCATAGTAATTATAATTATGAAGTAATTTCCATAATATATAAAAAGAAGTAATGCAGAAAAATTACAAATTAATTATTAGCGGAATGTTATATATTCGTTAACAGCATTTTAATATATAAACTTTCATAGGTAGATAGATAGAGTGGCAGTTGCCCATTGCAACATATATAGTTCTGTTTTATGTTATTGATTTCCCAAAACGGCAATATTCTGTTGAAGTAAAATATTGCAACGTGTCGGACGATCGTTTCGGTTTGAAGACAAATACATTGAACAAGTATATATCATCACTGGCGACAAAATATTTCCTAATACTTATAAAGTGAAATTAGTAAATGAGGCCATATATTAAATTTACATACAATCCATTATGTGGAGAAACCGACGAAAATACCAAAACTATTGTTCAAATCGGTGTTGACGTGATCTTAAACCATCGCTTGCAAAAATGTTTACTTTTAGTGGCAAGAAAACATAGCCACAACATAGAATGTATCTCATAAAAGCAGCCAAGAATGCTAATCCATTATTTGTTTATTATTTGAGTTGGCGACATTAGCTGAAGAAACCGACAAAAGTACCAATAATATTGTTCAAATCGGTGTTGACGTGATCTTAAACCATCGCTTGCAAAAATGTTTTACTTTTAGTGGCAAAAAAACATAGACACAACATAGAATGTTTCATAAAAACATAGCCAACATTTCATTTTAATCTACTAATCCATTCTTTATTTGCAAGCCATTTGAAATTGGCGTGTCAGTGTGTTTTGTAATGATGAATAAATTGAACATCGCGGGTAGTGATTAATTTTTTTGGTAAAAAATGTTTTACAATAAAAAAAAAATGCAAGATCTATTTTTAAAGAGTAGAAACTCATACCAAAATTATAAATGTGTTAGGTCAAATTATATATTTCAAAATTAATATTAAATAATGGTTTATAATTGGGCTTGTCTTGTATAAAAGTGGCCTAGTCAAACAAACCTTGAAGATATTTCCCGTTAAGGGCGTTCAAAACCTGCATCAACACTAGAAATCGTCACAAATATACAGGAAATAGTTCTGGAAGATTTTCGGTTGATCAGGAAAGTTTTAGAAGAAGCTCTAGGCATTCCATCAAGTGAGTAACATTTCACTTTATGTCAAGTTTTAAGGTTCAAAAAACCTATGTACATGATGGTTTGACGCTTTTGCTAACAAAGGCGTTTAAGGTTTAACCAAAGATGAAAAGGATTCTGTACGTTAGATTTGCAAAAATGTACATATGTCTAAAGATCAATGGATCTCTGTGCCGTTTACGGCCGGCTGGATTAACCTGACCTATCTAACCTAAATACACAGACACTCAAACGATACACTTTCTCTTTTCCTTTTTGTTGTACCTTTTTGTAGTATCCTTCCAATTTCAAGAACGACGGGATACACTGTATGTTTTACTTTTTAATGTACCTTGTTATAGTATTCGTCCAATTTCAAGAATGACGGAATTCCCGCTCCGCAGTCACTTGTCTATAGAAACGATCAACTCCTTCTTACTCCTTAGTGGAAAGACTGTTTGTTGCCTACAACAACATAATATCGTTACTATATCAAGAAGACTCAATCGTCATTTTAAATAATAAATACATACATACATACGTTGCTGGTCATTATAGCTTATTTTACACATATAACTAGTATTATATTCTTTAATTGGTGCATATACCTTGTGATCAAAAAAGAACTTATACGTTCTTTTCTTGAATACCTGCGCTTATCCAATCGGCAAACTTTTTTTATTTTGTGGTGTACTATGAACTCCTTCCGGACAGTCAAACGGTCAATAAGAAGCATTATTTTGCCGTTATGCGTTGGTTGCGTTAGGCCATTCGCAAAAAGAGGCCAGATTTATGTAAGGAAAACTCATGGATTTTACACCAAGATAACGCACCGGCTCACACAGCGTTGGTTGTGTCGTAGTCAAAAACTCCACCAATATTATCAACCAAGCACCGTACCAGATATGGCCCCGTGTGACTTTTCTTCTTCCCCCGGCTCAAATTGCCATTGCGAGGACCATAGACGCGTTTTGAGGCCATAGAGGCCATAAAAGAGAATTGGCTGCGTGACGTAAAGGCCATACCTTCGGCGGCCTATAAAACTTGTATGGAAAATTGGATCAAGCGTTGGCATGCATGTATTGCCGCAGGAGGAGAGCACTTTGAAGGCGATAATAAAGAAAATTATTATTATTAAATATAAAAAATTTTGCGTGTTTTTTTACCTTCTCGTCTTTTTTGATCAAATGGTATAGACAAAATTTTTATACTAAATGCAGCCGACTTAACTTTTTCTTTTGTCTTTATCAACTTATGAAATTCGCAAACTGTATGTAAGTACATGTCTAATGAGGTACCGCCAGTTTTGTTTTTTCTGGAGTGCTTACTATGACTAAATTAATATAGTATTTTGAATTGGCTTGAACGCTATATATCACTTAATGTTAGATCGGTGATATTGTACCCAATATACATATATGTATACATCTTAAACAACTAATAAAAAGTATTCTAAGAATTTAAATAATAAAAACTCATTTATTTTTTACAAAGAAGTTAGAAAAAAATGTTTAGTTTAAATTTTTTTGTGTTTCTTCTTCACATCGTATTGTGACCTTTCTTAAAACCTGCACTTCATTTTGAATGAAATCAAGTACCTGCTCGACATGAGCTCGTTGTAGTGTGGGCTTGCGACCTTTATAATTCATAAACAAATCATTAAATGAATTCCACCATAATATAATAAAATGTATATGAAAAGTTCAGTTCAGTTCACTTACCGATTCGGGTACACAACATTTTGTACATTTGATGAATCCCATCCCTACTTCTTTCAATACCGATTTGTTTGTGAATAACCTCGTCTCTAGCTTTCGACAGTTTATCTTCCCACATATTGCATTCATTATAAGCCTCAGTATAGGTGCACAATAGCTGATTTAATTCATTTTTCAATCCTAGTATCGTAAGTGCGGCTGTATCTGTCATTTTCAGTATTAACGCACGCAGCTTCTCAATTTCTTCAATTTTTTGCTTTCCTAACTTAGCGATTTCAATATTAGTCATCACTATAAACATTTTTATATAGATCATTAATTAGAATATAAATCAATCTAATATATTTATTCACTTACAAAGTGCGTCACAACGATCCATAAAATCTTTTACTGATTGAAAAGTACCAGACTCTCGTACAACATCTTCCATAATTTTTTCGTAGGGTAGAAATTCTTTAACGGTTTCGTTAAGTGTTTTTCGAAATGTATCTAATTCTTGCAAAGACTTTGTAAGTTCTTCAATACGTTGTCGTAATTTTGTACCCAAATCGTGCTGTTCCTTAATATCATTCTCAGCTAAATGCATTTTGTCAGCGCATTGGTTTATAAAATTACTTGTCTGAATAAATCGTTCTCGCATCTCAGTGTGTTCCTTGCGTAATTCATCCATACGTGATTCGTTTATCTTTGTTTGTTTTTTAGAACTTTCCATGACTTTTTCCTGCATTTCCAGCATATCCATATATTCTCGTTGGTTACGTATATAAAGCATATCGATGGAATCTTGGGCAGAGTCCCAGTGTGGTGGTTTTCTGATTATTATTAATAAAACATGCTAAATATTTTTTTTTAAAGTATTTTTTAATTAATTGAACTTACATGAAATACTTATCCTGATCTTTAGATACA